GTTTCTATCATAGAACAATTTCTAATTCTATCGTTGGGGAAAACTAACTTCTGAAATTTCTTTTATATGGAGAGTTTCTGGGTCGATCATTTGCATAGTATCTATTTCGAGAATTTGAATGAGAACTGGTTTTTATCAAACGAACAGTTGGTTCTGTTTGAATTTGATCGCGAATAATTATTTCGATACTGATTTTTTCGACTGTTTGATCGACTGTATCTTTTTTGTGAAAAGTTTCGGTAATTTCTTTGATCTGGAGATCGTCTTCGATAGTTAGATCTATAAAGTGATTGTTGTCTAGAGTAATTAGAGTTATTTGGAAGTGGTTTCCCTCAACTATTACTACTATGGATATTTTTGTTTGGTAGACTTTGATCTTTTTTCATGTATTGATCAATTTTTTTTGGTTCTCTGTGCTTTTGTGTTTTATTTTGATTATAATTTTGATTTTGTCTACATTCAGCAATGCCGTGTCAGTATTGTCGGCAATAAATGCATCATTTTTTGAATGATGGTTTACCGTTAAAATTACGCTTTTTCTCGTAGATGTTCAAGATTTCAGTGAATTTCTCAGATAGCTCTGTATCGGAGTCATGAATATTGTTCATTTGTGAAGTAGTGACTTGGATGTTGTTTACATATTGTAGCTTTAGATTTTATGTTTCTTCCAATTTTATTGTGATTTGTGCTTTTTCTACTAGATTTCGAAAGTCTAAATCTGCTTCTCGGGTTGAGAAATGATGTGATGCTCTCTTTTTTTGCTTCTTGTCGTAATTGAGGTGTTAGAGTCATCATTAAGCTTTCTAACTTCTTTGTATTTTTATAATCTTGCATACATCTTTTTAGGACTCGTGTTTCGTTTCTTACTGCAAGTTGTTTTATTGATTCGACTTTCGTTGCATAAAACTCTTCGATGTTGTTTGTTTCTTTCAGAATCAAACATTTTTGAAAAAATTCTTGTGTGAATCTTTTCCAATCTGATTTGATATATATTGGTAGAACTGAAAACCACTTTTGGGCTGCACCATCAAGTGTGGTCTGCATTAAGGCTGTGATCTATGTATCCAATTTTGATGAAATGGCGTATTTACTGGTTCATGGTCCTATATTTAAAATTAAATTTGTTGTGTTTGCGTTTAAATAATCTTCTACAGAGTGTCCAGGATCTGTATCCAAAAAAATACTATTAGTGGCTTGTTTGATGATATTGAGGATCAACCCATTAGGTATAGACTCATAGTCATTTGTAGTGGTGCTGCGGCATTTGGTATTTGAGAAAGGTTTGTAAGTTGACTTTTTGTTTTTTCATGTTGTTGTAAGTACTCTATCCATTTGAGTTGGTTGGTAAGATTGTGCATTGACTGAGTTTTGTGATTGAAAAAAATTATTGTACGGCGTTGGATTATTTCCTGGTTGTCTTGCCTGCTCATTTCGTGTATATGGTTCAAAATTATCTGGTTGATCAATGTTGTAAGACTGAAGTAATTAATTTGTAAAGAATCGTTGATTATTTTAATTATACGACTCCTCATCTTCTGATGGGGAATAATGAGTTGTATAATAAGAGGATTGATTTGTATTATAGTGTTTGTTTCTGTTATTTTTATTTTGTTGAAAAAATGTGTAATATTCAGTTTGATCTTGTGTAGATCGTGGTTGATCCTTGAAAAATACTGAGCTTGAAGTTCGTTGTGGTATATTGTGTCTTTGGGAATATGAATAAGTCTGAGTACTCATGTTAGAAGTTTTTGGTGCTTTTGATTTGTGTACATAGTTATAATTACGTTCTGCGAATATATTTCAATGCGATGTTGTTTGTTTTTGTGATGATTTTGTTATTGGTCGAAATGTTTGGTAACGCATTTGTGAAACTTTTGGAGCATCAGAGGATTTTACCGTAGATTGTATGGTTGTTTGTGGTAATATTGGATTTTTTGATTTTGGAGTTGTAAGGTTGGGTGAATAGGTGAAATAATTTGTTGTGCATTTTTTGTTATTGTTACAACTATTTCTTCTTTTACGAAATGTGATGGAGTTTGAATATCTTGTTTTGTAAGATTTCTTGTTCCATTCAAATTGCCTTGATCAATGAAAGTGGAGTTTAAACTATTTTTTCCTGCTCTATCAGGAAAAAATGTATTATAGTTTAAAGGTCTTGCGTCAATTGTAAGTGGGTATACTTTAACATTATCTTTGTGAATAGAGATTGTGATAAGTGCTTGACTTGATATATCTGTTGGTATAATAATAAAAAAAGTCGTGAAACTATTCAGGGTCACGAAAATAATCTCTCTCTTCTGCTAGTATAGTTTCGACATCTGTGTTCTGTTGTCTAAAAATGTTTATGAGGTCAATAATATGAGCAAAATAATCAATTAAACCATGCTGAGATTTTTTGTAAATCGTATTTAACTTTTTGTGTTATATTGTGGTCTAAAACTTTTTCTTGCTAGTGCTATGAAGTCAATATTATGAGGAAAATAATCAATTATGAACCATGCTGAGATTTTTCGTAGATCGTGTTTAACATTTTGTGTTATACTAGTCAAATTTTTACGGATTGCATTTAATATATTGATTTCTTGTCTTACGGTTGAATGTAGAGATGTTCGAGTTGGTGAATAACCTTGTGGTTCTTTTGATTCTACTATAGATAAAAAGTCAAAAATTAGTGAAGATACATCGTTTTTGAATAGCGAATTTGCTTTTATTGAGTTTTGGTGTTGTATATTTATGTATTCTGTAAAAAATTTTAAAAATTCAATATCTACGTCATCTATTTGAATTAAATATTCGTCATGAAATGAGTTTGGTGAACCGATTTCTTTTGTGTATATTCCGCCACGTGATGTAATATTACACTGCTTTTGAGATAGTGGTCAAGAAGTTTTAATTTTACTTCGCGAGATACTTTTGTACATGGGCTATCTCCTTTTTCGAATAATTTTACGATTAAATTCTGACAAAATTGTACTTGTCATCGAGCTTCAGCTTGTGGATGTATTAAAAATGGGAGTATGGGGTTTTCTTCGGGGTTTTGTTCATTTTGAATCTTTTTTGTGTTTTATTACTGTTAATATGTAATTTTCAATGTATCTTATTGGTTGATTCTAATTATACAAACGTATTGGCTTGTTTGTGTACGACTTTTTTATTCAGCGTTTTCTATGTATCGATGCTGTTGATGTGATTTCTGAGTCAGAAAAAAAATTTTGATCGTCAGTTTGATGATTTTTATTTATTGATTCTTTTAGAATGTGAAGTTCTTGTATTGAGCTTGTTTCTGATTCTGAGACTGCGTTTCTTCGTTTTGAATATCGTTTTCTAATAATTTGTTTTTGTTTGCTAACAGTTTTCTTTCTCAGTGTTTGTTTTTTTGTTGTGATATATCCTATTGTTTGTCTGTTTTGTGTGATTACGAGCTCGTATCTTTCGTCATTGATTATACAGTTGTGCAATACAATTGTTTATTTGTTTCCTAAATTGTCTCATGACATAAGGTTTAGAATGATGATTGAAATATTAGGATTAGTGATTTTTAGTTTCTTAAATAGTTAGTTCTTACGTTTTTTTTGGTTAGCTTAGCTTGGGTCATCAATTGTCGGGTTGGAGAGAAAAGCTTATATCGATTCGTAAGAATGATTTTTACTTTCTCGTGAATAATTCTAAGTTAAGATAGGCTTACCTAATCTTACTTCGGGGTTGTGATTTGTGATCAAGGGTTGGAGAATAGTAAATCAATCCACAGGTATAATTAGAACGCAAGTATCTCGTTAGATTTTATTTTATGACTTACTAAGTTTAAGTGTTTTTGCATGGGTCATTTAAGAGGGGGAATCAAGTGAAGGATTAGTAACTGCAGTTCTTCACTGTTCGTCCTTATTAGAATGGTAAGTTCTTTTTAAAAATGTCTATTGATCCTGGGTCGTCAATGAAGGTTGGGTAGTGAAGCGACGTTTGAGGTCGTCATACACTAATTAATTTTGGGAGGGGGAGAACAAAATTGTCTATTTGATCCAAGGATAAGCCTTGATGATCAGATATTTAAAAGTTTGAATTTACTTTAATTTTAAAATCCATGGGAAGCCTATATGATGTGATATTTTAATGAAACTAATTTAATTGAAAACAAGGATAGGACTTGATAATTTTTAGTTGAAAGTTTAAGTTCAGAAAGGGTTATTGTTTCAGTTTGGATGATGTTAATTTTGATATTCGCTGTCATGTTTTAGATGGTGAAGCTGAGATGAAGGGATGATTTATTTTAATTATTAAAACTAATAATTATGCTTCATACTAACTAATTTTTGTATTTTTTTTATCAATAAATGTTTTTAAACAAGATCTTTTAAATTACTGCAGATGTTGGAGGGGAACCGCTAGTTTTATTTTTATCAGTCGTTATTGTATAACCATTAAATTTAGCGCCATGAAAGTTATTGATGATTTCCTTCAAAATTTTAAATCAGTAAATGAAAATTTGAACTTACTGCTGGAAGTTTTCTAAATACAAAAGTTTGTTCTGGTTTTCGTCGTACGATCATGAAATTGATTGGTAGGCTTCTTTTTAATCGTATATTGTGCCTTGTCCGAGTTCTTCTTGCAAAACCAGATATTTCTCGTATCGTTCGGAAAAATGGCGATGATTAATTGAGTCGTAGAGACATTTCTACTAAATTTATGTCATATAACATTTTTGTAATGTTGAAATTGTCTAATTAATTTAATGTTTTGGTTAATGTTTCCTAACCTAAGTTTGTTAAGGTCTTGTTCGAGACTTTTGGTCGTAACAGATAAGTTATGGCCCTTTCGTAATACTCTTAAAGTAACTTCAGATAAGGTATATCGTCTCTTCGTCACGCTATCTTATTTTTGGCCGGATAGATTCGTGCAAGTTCTTAGTCTAATACCAATCTTAATCTTACTCCTATATCTCCTAGTCTCAATATATCTACTGTATACTGGTTTATGAGAGTCCGTGTTTCTGGAGAAAGCAACTGTATTCTAAGTTTAATTCAAATTGCTAAGGTGCTGAAACTACAAGTAGTTTTAGCACTTACAAATAAGTGGGTTGATAGTTGATGGAGTATGATTGGTTAGTATTCAATATTTTATATCGTAATAATAAAATATCATAATAATAACCAATAATAAATTCCAGTTTAGATCCTGTTCCAAATGGGCAGTCAGAACATTCAGGGCTTTGCCCTGATACGAGCAGTCTTGTTTAATGTTATTATCATAATTCAGGATGACTATAACCAAGTAAATCGTAACCTAAAGCGCTTCACTATCGACATATGTTACTATGATGTTTTTTTATCAGGTACACTGACTACTACAGATTTGAAGTGAAGACCCAAAACCAACATTCCATGTACCCTGGAGCCAAAAATGCTGGCAACTGTGATACTTCATGGATTTCGGCAAACACATACGTCACAGAAGAGGGCCATCCCTACACCATAATCGACACTCCTCCAATCACGCATCAGTCTCTGGGAAATGACTTGATAACGGTTAGCTGCCTGAAAAGGGGTCTTTTCTGTTAAACGACCCAGGACCTTTTTTTGCTACAAGTTTTGAGATTTGAAAAACAATGCTTGTATCTGATTGGTGGAAATTAACCATTTGATAATTTTGGGCCGCACAACATAAAGCACATTTGAAATTTTATTGAAAAAATGATATAATCAGATGTTTGCAGACGAGTTAGATCAGGGGCAGATCTAAGATTTTCTCAGGGGGATAGCAGATTTTTTTTAAATGTCAAAATTTTATCAAACTTTTTTTTGGGTTGACCAAACTGTTTTTCGAGCTCTCAAAATCATTATAAAGACCCAATTTGACCAAATTTTCTGCGCTGCTTTTTGGAAAAAAATTTTAGTTTCTTCGGCGCGCGCTTCCCCCTCAAAATTAGCATATGTTGGCGCCGAAGGAGCCTTAATATTAATTTTTGGGTCCGTCAGCCAAAATTGGATATCTGAAAAAGTACAAAGAGGGACCCTTTGGGTCGCCAGGGGTTCGAACCCATGAGGAGAAAGGGGCGTCCGCCAACCAGCCCCCCTTAATCCACTGGTGAGTTAGATTCATTAGATTTTTCTAGAGTGCAATCAGAGCCATATTTGAAGAACGATTTTTTACCATTTCATTTTTCTCAAGTATTCAATAATCAAATAAGGTTAATTGTTATTTTGAATATTATTTTAAGTTTAATGAATATAATTATTGATTGTTGTCAATTTTACAAAGAGAAACTGCAATTTTAAGTTTTCAATCGATGAAATAAAAAAATCATGTTTTTGGGATCTTATCTGTAAAAACTCCTGAAAAATTGTGTGTGTTAAAGGGAAATTTTTGTGAAAGGATGTAGCCAGATAAAAAAAGCAGAAAGTTCTTATGAAAGGGTCGTTTGGCCACTCAGTTGCAGTTTGTCAGAGAGTAGTTTTAACTGCCTAAAACCTTCGTAAACAACAAAAAAGTTTATATTTTTTGGATTCCAACTTTTTATTGAAAAACAAGTTTTTTCTTGTTTTGGCATATAAGTCGGTGTATTGTCATAAAAAGAAAAAAAAACGTTTTTTTTTTTAATGCTTATCTTTCAATTTCCATACAGAGAAATTCATCGACTATCGTTTTTTTGATGGCGACAGCAAGTTTTTTTCTAAGTAATTTAGAAATTGCCTAAAATTTTGTACGTTTTTTTTCAAAAATTTTTCCAAAAAAAGTTGCATGCTTAAATTAAATTTGTCTTTCTAAGCATACCGTATGGATGAATACATAAAAGTTGAGTTTTCCGTTTCTCCTAATAACTTTTTTCAAAAACGAATATGATGCCTATTTGTTTTGTATGGCTTGTTTTTCTATGCCTTAATCATTGCACGATCAATGAAAACTCGATTTTAAAAAACCATCTTTTAAAATTTTTGCCAACATTTAGATTTCTGATATTTTCATTATATCATTTATGTAAAACAAAGCCAAGACAATTCAGGTCGTTTTCAAAGCATTAAAATTGCAAGACGCTCAAACCTGTGGCGAATCTAATTTTGAGTAGCTGAACACAAGGATTTTGTAACTTGTGTTCGGATACGAAAATCACCAAAAGTTTTGAGACATTAAATTTTTTTAAAAAATCAAGTTTTTTGATTTATGGCAAAATGCTAGTCATACAATTTCCATTTACGAAAAGTCACTAACGATAGACCATTCATGCATTTTCTGTACTTATGAAATTGTATAAAAATTGTATGATTATCTTTTTTGCTTATATGATTTTTGTATGACTTGCATTTTCGGTCATCCCGGAAAAATAAGTAAAACTTGAAAAACTGAAAAAAGTTTTAAAAAAAAAAAATTAAATCACTGTAATCATTTTCTAATCCGAAGAAAATCTCCCTTCATCTGATGAAATGTGCGATAAGCTGAAAGCAGCTGTCAAGTTTTTAAAACACTGCAGTGTGTTTGAAAGCTTCAAATTAAATTTCGAGAAAAAATTATTTGGCTATAATCGATTTAAATGAATTTTTTGGCATGACAAAAAGTAAGATTGAAATTTTTAATCAAGTATAATCGAAAATGTTTGAACTTCATAGAAACTATCAATGAAAACCCAATATAATTGATATAGTTACTATATGAGCGAGAGCGTGTGACTTGTTTTGCAAGAAACTTGAATTTGAGTAAAAGGCTTATGCTGTTTTCGATGTAGCTACTCCCATCCAGTTTCCAGCGCTAGTACTTACCCTAGCGATAAGCAAGGGTATTGCAATCGGGTACTAGATTTTTCCCGCTGTCAGCTTTGTTCACAAAATGGTCTGTTTTAATAAGTGCGGTAACTTTGAATTTGACCACTGCTGACATGCAGACTGTGACCTGCTCAATTTTATCAAAAATGAAATGAATAACATCTTTTAGGTAGTATTTAAGTGAATTCATTTCAGGTAATAGCTTTTTGAATTAAAATTCTTGAAAAAAAATGTTTTCGTATTCGTGGATTTCGTCCTAGTTTCTGTCGGCTCATTTTTCATTTTTCAAATGCAGTTTGTTTTATCTGGTACGCTTTTTGGGCTTTTTTTGCAAAGCATAGATTTTTTATTGATTTTAAGAGTTTTTATTGTGTTGAAAGTTCTGTAATTTGGGAATTTTTTTAAAGTTTTTTTTCAATTGAATGATTTCAGCTAATGTTTTTCCAGATTATTCACATTATGTTGCGTATTTTCGAGTTTAAAACATATTGTTATGATTTTATTCATTTCATAGAAAAATTAATTTATTACAGCTCAGAATTTTTTATGACAGTTTCTTTTCTTTTTACTCGGCTCTTTGTACCAATCTTTTTTCTAATTTTGAACCCTAACAACGGTACCAATCTTTTCTTTAATTTTATACCCTAAATTTTGAATCCTTTCCAGTCAGCCTAGGAGCCAACATTGCAGCCAACATTCTTGGGTTCGAGTCTCGGTGGATGCAATTGAAAAAAAAAAATTGGTTAAAATTGAATTGTCGGACTTTCAAGCGTCTGCTCAAGTTTACTCCACTAATTTGCCCTCATCACGGTTTTCGCTTGTGCTGTAAGCAGCATCTTTCATTCAAGTGTTAGTGTAGTTTATTTTAGTATCAGGGGGAATTTTAAAGATTCGATTTTCTTTTCATATAATCAATTTTTTTTCGTCGCAACTGGTGTCTGCTCAAAGATTATTGGCTCAGTTGCTACATAACTGTTTTTTCTTGTGGTGTAAGTTACTTTAAAGGTAGTTGCACATGGAAGTGTTGTTCATTATATTTACATGTAGGGGGCTTAAAACTTTTTCATATAGTCTTATTTTTTGCTTCAACTTGTGTCTGCTTAAAGTTTGTCGACTTTGTTGCCCCTTTGTAACATTTGCTCCGTTGCTAATTTAATATTCAAGTTACTGAGTTGACTGAAATTATTTTCCATCGAGACATATTGAGGAAATTAAAATTTTGATAGACCCAATTTTTTTTTAATGTTTTCCTAACTTGTTTAATGTAATTTTGGACTTCTTATGTTCTTCTTTAAAAATTTGTTGCAATGAAAGTGGTGCGAAGCTCTGCTTTGCATCTGTGTTTATTGTACTTTATTTTATTATATTGTTTTCCTAAAATTGAGAAAAAAATTTTGGTTATCAATGGTTAATCGATTTTTACAAACTCAATTAATATCTTTTTAATAACCTTTATGTTCGATTACTTTTAGCCGGTTTTGCGATATATATATATCGAGTTGGTTATATATATAATGAGCCCATTTTGGTCTGCGTCCTGGCTTATAAATTGCGACCTGCTTTTCATGAACTTTGGCTTATGTATAACTTTGAAAAATCATTTTAATGGTTTTCAAATCAGTTCAAATCAAAAAAATTTTAATTTTCATCAAACTTTGTTCCGTATGCCCACTATTTCAAACCTTTTTTTCAGCCAAAACATGAGCATATTAATTTAGTTAAAGGTTTTTATACAGTGCTGATTTAAATTATCCGGACAAAACGAACAAAGCTTGAATTTTCAAAAGCGTTTTTCTCAAATTGGGTTGAGATTGGACAAAAAGTGAAGAGGACAAAAGTTGCTTAGAATTTCACCAGAATTAATATGGTGCTATTTTTTCTCCGAAATTCTCAACAAAAATTTTACCCCAAAAATGGGTCATTTTGGCTTTTTTCATTTAATCAAAAATTACGCTGAAACTACTTTGTTAATTGATAAGAAAATTATATCACAGGAAGCCTCTTACGCAGCTCAACAAAGTTTTAGAAGGGTTAAATCTCCAAAAATTTGCGCAAATTGTTTAAAAAATATTTTTTAACAGAGATTCTGGGTTTTATATAGTAAAAATCACATTTATTGACTATCAAGTGAACTTTTTTCTTTTATACTGGTTTTTGGAGATTTAACCCTTCTTATACTCTGTTGAGCTGTGTAAGAGGCTTCCTGTGATATAATTTTCTCATCAATTAACAAAATAGTTTCCGCGTATTTCTTGATTAATTGAAAAAATGCCAAAATGACCCATTTTTGGGGTAAAATTTTTGTTGAGAATTTCGGAGAAAACATGGCACCATATTAATTCTGGTGAAATTCTAAGCAACCTTTGTCCTCTTCACTTTTTGTCTAATCTTAACCCAATTTGAGAAAAGCGCGTTTGAAAATTCAAGTTTTGTTCGTTTTGTCCGGATAATTTAAATCAGCACTGTAGTTTATTGATTAAATTATTTACAGTCCGCGGCAATTTTTAAACTAACATGAAAGGATCTGCATGAAACTCTAATAGACTTTTTGGAGGAAGTGTAATCAATGAGAAGTTTTTGAAAGAAGTTACAGTCTCTGGGAAAATATTACAATTAGAATTGGTCATAAATCCTTCAAATGCTCAATATAGGTAATTATAATCAATTATATTTATCTTAAAACCTGTTTCAAAAAGGAAGTATTTAAATTCGAAGCCTAAATTTTCATGTGGTTACATTCTTGTAGATAGCTCCATTCACCCATCATGTTTCGAAATTTCAGGAAGTAAAAAAATACTGAAAAAACTTTCGTTTATTTGGTGTTTGAAATTGCACGTTCTTATGACCTGTCACTGTTTATTTTTGGTCACCTGCATTTCATTGATCACTGACATCTTTTTTTTAGTTTCTAAAGCAGTACCAGTACGAAAAAATTGATGCAGTATGCATCGTGCAACCTGGCAACAAAGCCGAAATTCCGAGTTACGACATGTCTGTGATGAAACAAGTTACGTCACTGTTCGAGCGCAACGCAATTGGGAACATATTTCTCATTTCGACATTTGGACTGCACAGAGAGAGCAGCATTTCGGGGCTCGAATTTGAACGCCAAATTTCACTTGAAAATAGCTGCCTTTTCACACAAAACGAAACTTCTCGTGCAATGTGGGAGTTGTCATTTACGAACTACGAGGCTTTTGTCGACTATATATCCAAATCAGGAAAACCAGCGGTTAGGTTGGTTGAGAATGAATGGAAAATGGACCCTAAGGAGATTGAAAACGCAATTTTATCACTCGAAGAGGCTATTCAAAAACTACTCTACGACTCTGCTAACTTGAACCGGGAAAAAGAGCAACTTGCAGCTATGAAGGACGACATAAACACTTTGCAAAATCTAGAATACAACGTGGTAGTTCAGAAAAAGGAGAAAGTAAACAAGCCTCAAGGTTTGTTTGTGACCGTGTGTTTGCACTGCTCGCAAACTTGTCACGATAACTGCTCGTTTGAAAATGACGAGGATAAACATCAGTGTGTAGCGATGGATTCAAACGAGCCCGCGGAGTCTCGCCACTGCAAGAATTGTTCCGAGAAATGTCACTGGCGCAAACACTCTAACACTCCTTATTTCTACAGGTAATTATGCCGAACAGTTCTTTTTTGTTCCGACTTTCGATACGAAAGTAACGGAATATTTGTGCTCGTGGTGGGTTTTTTTTTCTTCAGACAAATTTCGACTTTTTAACTAGCCATTTATTTAATTTTTTTTACATCATTCGAAAGCTATTGTTGTTCTGGGCTTAAATTTGAAAATATATTTTACCTGTGATCATTTTTTGTAAAAAGTTATGAGGGTTTAAAGTTTGCCATTTTTTGCCATTTTGACCATTTTGGGACAATTACCGCGCGATATAATTCGCGCTAAAAACGCGTAAGCGGAGATTTAATCCGTCTTAGAAATCGTTCCAAATTGGTTAAAAGAAGCTTATTTGCCATAATTGATTTATTCCCAAGAGCGAAAATTATTGTTTTGTACTTTATATGGCGTGTGGGGTGATGATTTTTAAAGAAAAATTTTCAAATTTTAGAAAAAAAAAATTTTCGCTTTATTTTTTTTTTCATTTTATTTTTTTTGTGGTTTATGTTATTACTGCTCCGTAAACGTTAAAACGCAGTCGGAACTTTCAGGGCTTTGCCCAAATACGAGCAGTCTTGTTTATTTTTAAATCCAGATTGAGCAGTGAAAGCAAAGGAAAGCAGATTTTGGAGAAGGTTATTTAAAAAAAACTCTACATAAAAACTGTGATATCAGAGTTAGTATCACAATTCATGCCTGATGATGTATTAGTTTGTGGTGAATCAGGTGGCGGAAAAGCAAAAAGTGGGACAATATGGATTGGATTTTGGATGTTGGCAGGGTGGGAGTTTGATCGATGGAGTGATCCATTTTGTCTGCTCATCGTGGGCTGAAAAAATGATTATTTTGAGATTGAAAAGTGGGGGTATGGGGCTGTTCAATAATTTGTTCATATGTATCGTCATTTTGGGGGTGTTTTGTCTCTATATGTTGAATGGGGCTTTGTATGTGGCTTGGTCTTAAGTTTGGGGGGTTTGTGATTGCTAAGTTCCTAAAATTTCGTGAAACTAATGATAACGGATGGTTATGATGTAGATTTGATAAATGTGGTGCTGTAGGTAATGCAATTGTATTATTGTTTGATTCGTCAAAAGTGTTCAAGTTAGTTGATAGTTTTGTTTTGTATTCTTTGATCTGTGCATCTAAGAGGATTTTATTTATTGTTGATGAAAATATTCCAAAAATTCCTGCAAATAACATGCATGCTACGCTTGCTTGTCGGTTTACTCGTGTGTGTATTGCGCATGTGTTATAGATTCCTTTTAGTAATGATCACTGGTCGCACCAGATGAGTTAAGTTCGAGGTGTAACTCAAAGAGTAATTTTGGATAGGGTACACCGTCTGCTCGTCACACTATCTTATTTTCGGCCGGATAGGTTCGTGCAACTTCTTAGTCTAATATCGATCCTAATCTTACTCTTATGTCTACTAGTCTCAGGGTGTTTAACTAGTCTCTGCTATACTCAATAGATCTAGAGTATACTGGCTTATTGCGATTGCTAAAAAGTCTCTTGGAGAGGTAACTAATTTCTGATTTAGATTCAAATCTCTCTGGTGTTAAAATTACAAGTAATTTCAGCACTTACAAATAAGTGGGTAGTTAGTAAGATGGATCATGATTGGTTAATATTAACTATTTTATAGTGGTAAAAAATCTAATTTATACCCAATAATAAAATATAGTTTAGATCTGGTTCCACCCATCCGGGGTTTACAGAGTTTTGAATCTTTTATCTTCTATCTGTAATGAAGGATGGATGATGATCCTTGGTATTTGGCAAGCATCATTTCTTGTTTCGTTCTTAGAGAAGAAAGCTCCAGGAAGTTGGAATCGTCGATAAAAAGTTTTTGTTGTTAGCTGTCGTTCGACAAAGACTATGACCGCCAACGAAATCAATCTCCAGATGGTTTGTTATGATCGTCTGTTCTTGATCGGTTGTGGAGAACTATTTTTCGATCTGGATTGGGAATGGCGTGAAACTCGAGTTCGGAGGGAACGCCTTGTAACTCGGGTCTGTACGTATACTTGAACATCGAGGTGGTCATTGGTCTGATTCAATGAAGTCCTTTTCTGCAAAGTCAAGTCGTACTCTAAATCTTTTTTGAGTCGTGATTGTGGGCGGCATGTCGGTTGTGTTTAGCCATTCTGTAAGTTGAGTGTGATGGGGTCGTCTAGTCATTGGATGCTCGTCTTTGTGTTTATGTGTGATCTATGTACTGTATATTATGATTTACATTTTATAAAAATTTGTTAGTTCAATTTTTTATTTATGATTTTGGTTAATTTTTTTTCGCAAAAGCGTTTTTGTTTTAGTTCAGTTATTTTTAAGAGTTACTCACCCTTGAGTACCCCTTGTCAAAAATATAGTGTGGTCACAAAGCGTGGATGTAGCACGGTGGAATAAGGCCGGCTACAGAGCATGCTCAGGACGTCCTCTCTGGTGGGTTAGGCCGGGAGTGGGGATATGATTTCATGCTGGTTTTTAAGGGGTCCTGTTTTGTGCTAACGTTTTAAGCTGGTTTAATCCGGTTTGGGTACCGTAGGTGTTCTTTTCTTAGTCATGCTGGTAGTTTGTGGTTTGTTGTGTTTAGTTAGTTGCGTTGGTTTGTTTGGTTATTATATAATTCCATTCCAACCGGGTTAAAGGAAAGTTGGAAACTTCTTATCGCTTGTTTGAGTTGTTGTTAGTGAAAATTTAAAACTTGAATTCATTGTTTTAAACAATTCTTCGTGGGCGAGTTGTGCGATTGTGGATAGTATTCTTGTGCGGGTGAACAGAAGATATATATAGAAGATATAGAAGGTTAGTACTGCATTTTTCTGTACAAATTTACTACTTTAAGATTGAATTTTACTGCATTGTGGGGGTCTAAAACTATAAATCGATTATCATCCTATTTAATTTTACTACATTTAGGGAAATAATTTATAGATGAACTTATTACTTTGATTTTGAATTTCACTGCATCATTTAGTGCTGTAGGTTGATTAGAGTTTAATATGAAAAAAGAGTTTGTATTTTTTTTTGATTTTTTCTTGTTGTAGGTAAGTTTAATCAATAAAAAAGTTTAGATTTGGAGGATGTTAGTGGTTGTATGGTTTGCTATTATGTTTAGGCGATGAAGCTGGAGATAACGAGATGGTTTATATATACTAACAATTTGTGTGTATACTAACTAATTTTTATTTTTAATTTCAATAAATAATTTTTTCAAAATATCTTTTTAAATTTTACTGCAGTTTGGAGGGAACGACTAGAGATGTTTTTATCAGTCGTTATTGTACAATAATAAGTTTAGCGCCTTTAATGATCATTGAAAAAAATTCTTCACGAATTCTATGTTTGCAAATGAAAATCTAAATTAATTGATTAAAAAATTCTATATATAAAAGTTTGTGTTGGCTTTTGCCGTACGACCATGGTAAGTTTCTTCGTAGTCGTATGTCGTCATTTGTCCGAGGTCTTCTTCCAATACCGGGTAGTTCTCGTTTTGTTCGGAATAGTGGCTCTGATCTATTGAGTCGTAGAGACATTTCAATTAAATTATTGTTCGGTAACATTTTGAAAATTTTTTGTCTAATTCTAATCTATTTTGTTAGTTCTAAGCTAATTTGCTTTTTAAGGTCTTGTTCGAGAGTTTTGGTCGCACCAGATGAGTTATGCTTTAGGTTAAATCATAGAGTAATTTCACATAGGGTACACCGTCTGCTCGTCACGCTATCTTATTTTCGGCCGGATAGATTCGTGCAATTTCTTAGTCTAATACCGATCTTAATCCTACTCATATATCTCCTAGTCTCAATACATCTAGTGTACACCGGTTTACGCGAGTTAGTTCCAGAATGAGAACAACTGTATTCTAAAGTTAATTCAAATTGTTCTGGTGTTGAAACTACAAGTAGCTTCAACACTTTACAAATTAATAGGTTGTTAGTTTTATGGAGTATGATTGGTTAGTATTTAATTATTTATAGAGATAAAATATCATAATAATAACCAATTATAAATACTAGTTTAGATCTGATTCCAATGTTGTCATGAATTTTGGCAAGATCTGTACGTTTTTTTGATATCTGTTTGATCTTACATCGCTAACTGCAACAGTGTGCATGGTCTTGGGAAAGGATGTGTTTTATGACAGGGTGGTGGAAGAGACTGTTTGTAAGCCTATCGAGGGTTTATTGGATCTCTACTCCATTCGAGCGGATGACATCAGGAGAGGGGAGAAGGTGGTTGCTCATTTGGAGAAAACGGTGACGGAGACCCTAATTCAGATGGTGCAGCAGATTGAGATCATTGAGCGAAATATCAGATGTAGGTAGATTCAAAAAATTTCAGGAGAAAAAACTTTAATCGATGATTCCGGATGGGAAAAATCCGATTTGGGCACAAAAGTTGCCGAACAAAAAATTTATCAAACCAGGCCGCATTTTTTTCTTCGACCGAGAAATTGATACTGTGTGCATGAACTGTTGCTACTGAAACGGCCAAAAAGTAGAAATATCGCTTCGAGAAATTCGAAGCAAAAATTAAAAACCTATGCTCGAAAACAAAGTTCGTACCAGATATACAAGGGCCGAATTTTTTGTTTTTTGTTTTTTTTTGATATTTTTTTTTGTTTTTGAATCAGTACGAAATCGAACTTTGCCTTGGGTAGGCGCACAATCTGGTGTCTGTGGATCACTGGAACCCAGATACAAGTCTTTTAACATATGTTCCGAAATGTAAGTGGCTTCCACGAAATAATTACTCTAGAATTCCGCGCACAAATACGTGTAACGTAAACTTTGTCGGAACATTAGTTTTGTCGCAGATGTTTCGACAAGATAATCAAATTTTGTTAGCAACTTTACCTCAAGCAAATTGAATAGCAGTCGAAACCCTCAGCGCTCCGCCCGATACGATCAGTTTTTTAGATATGGAGCAGTTTGACATCACAAACGCCGCTGATGCCAAAAACAGAGCCGACAGGAAAAGGAGGAGCTATATTGAGAAGTTGAAGGACAAGGAGGAATATGAAAATCAGGCGGGAAGTAAGGAAAGAATCAACCAACTTGAGAAGGCGCAGTTGGGCGAACAATACCTTAAAGCTGTAATCGAACAGATGGAAGCCTAGACTTTTATTGAGAAATTTCGACTCCAAAAAAGCTGTATATAATCTTTAACAAATTAAACAAAATTTGGTTTAGAAATACTTTATTGATGATCTAATTCGTTTAATAATGATAGGGGAAAAACTTTACACAACTTGGTCGTATCTAAGGTAGCACTTTGAAACAAATGCAAAGTAGATTTCAAAAACTTTGATTTTAGTGTTTCTTTCTACGCTGTAACTCTCAAAGTTTAAGTCGCACAATTTTAGGTAGCACCATTCTTGGGAGGAAAAACTTCGGCAAAGTTGGGAACGAAAACAAACTAGAGCGTTTCAAATTTAGATCGAAGCTTTGATTAGCGTCCACGTTTGCTTCGAAGTAACAATTTAGTTTCATAATTTGATATAGATAAAAAATAAAACATGTCTATTTTTGCAGATTTGGCCTAGAATTCTTTCAGTCGAAGAAAAGTAACTTTAGTAAATTTTTCAATTTATTTCGATCGAATGTTCATATTAAATGCGTGCGTGTGAGGTTATATTATTGGACTAATTTATTGATAATTTTTTGATAATGAGTTCTCAGTGCAATTTTCAGGTGTTTTTAAAACCAGTTGATATTGGAATACAATTGTTTTAAATGAAGGGTCTGTTTTATAACTGTACTGTTCTTTTACTATCGCAGTTTTTCTGAAAAAAAAACATGCTTCGATTCAGGGCGAATTTAGAGAGGTTTTGGACGCCCCCTCTCAGGGATTCGACCCCCTCGCCAACTAGAGGGTTGTAGTATTGGAAATGCTACACTAAAATAAAAAGCTATTGTTTTAATTGTTTACACAAGATCCGTGCGGACTCTTTTCTATTCTAACTTCTTTCACACCTTAAGATAAGAATGCCTTTTTAACTGAATAAGTAGTATGCATATAGTGCATTAGGATCGGGGTGAATTGTCATACATGGATGACCATTAAGTATAGATCATAATGGTCACTATGTATTATCTGACAACCAATGGTCACCATGTAAAAATCCAAATCGTCACCACGTGTTAATTTAAAACTTATAGTCATCATGTAATAATACTAACTGTCACCCTGTATTAGGTTTTAACTTATAGTCCCCATGTAATCTGCATTGGTTTCTATTTGCAATTGTCACCAAGTAATTTATGATTTTAACTTAAAAAAATCATATTGTAGAAAAAAATAAAGTTGTCACTGCAGTTTGGCTTAATATGAGTTTTGCTATCTGCACTCTTTCAGCAGCCTTTCCTTCCTTGCTGACAGACTTTTCGGAAAAAAAATATTTAAAACGCAATAATCTCTAGTTTGAAATGTACATGAAATTAAACCATGTTTAAAAAAATTTATTATTGTTGAGAACATTATCATTGAGGTATACAAAATCCAAGTATACATATCAGAGTTTTGTGTATATTCGAGTATTGTGTATGTTCGATAGGTTTTGTGCATAAATATTGTCAAAACTTGTACCTAAGTTGTTACTATAAAACTGAAGATAGAATAAGTTTTCTTGGGGTCCGAGTAGAGGAAAACGCACGGCGCTCGACTCTCAGCCGAAAGGCGTGGTTTCGAAACCCGTCCGGAAATTGTACTGAAAGGAGGCCTCAGTTGCTGGTATAGTGATATCCCCTCATAGATCAATAATGTTTTTTTTATAGAAACCTAATTTCTCGGATTATTGCTATTCATTTGACAATTTAATAAAAATGTCAATTACTAAAAGAATGTAGTGTTCAAAATAAAATTGAAATATGTACAAAGAAGTCATATTAAATAGTTAGTTAATGAGAAAGCATGTGGGTTAGAAAACGTATCAAAACAAGATCATTTATGTAAACAATATCAGAAGCATCACCATTAAAATTTTTTATCTTAAATCGAATATGCAATAAAAATACAAAAAGGACCGCACATGGTAGACTTTGAGTCTTTCATGGGAAAATTTGTCATCAATTCAGTGACCTGATGAAATTTCTCGTTCAATCGTTCAAATAGATTGATATACTGCTAAAAGAGGAAGACCGAGACAATCAGCGAAGTATAAAACATTTCTTCTGTTGCAAATCACAATCCACTGTGTCACCGGAGAATCTGATTTTGAAATGTTCACAAAGCCATTGATTGGGATGTGAGGTGGAAAATTGTTGGCTGCAAATATTCCAAGAAAACTTATATTTCAGATGTTTGCAGTTCTGAATAAGATCAAGCAACATGATGTCATCAGTCGGATTTGGAAGGACGTTCTTTGTAACTTTACGGTTGGAAGTAACAAATACATTCGATGAGCGTTTACCCCAAACAAAATTTTTTAGGTTTGATGTCAAAGCGTTTGAGAATCGAAAATCGAGTTAAACAGCATATGAGTCTTTGGCTCTTTTGCTGTTTGACAATTCTGTTCCAAAAAAGCTTTTAAGCGCAAAATTACTATTGGCATTTGAGATTTTGAGTCCATTAGCAGAGAGGGTACAGTCAGTGAGAAGGGAATACAGGGAGTTGTTTACGAGGAACGTTGAATCAGACTTAGTAGGATCAGTGTTTTCACTGATCCTACTAGGTCGTCGTCATTGTCGTAAGTCCCATCGTGCAAACATAATAAAGTGCTGCTGGTAGTTATCCAGAGTGATTCCCAGCCCGCAGTTCAACAGACCCAGCGCTGATAGTATGTTGAAGAAGAGACGTTTATGATCTTGTGAACTAATTGTTGTACTTGGGATTGGTAAACCGTTCCGTCTCAAGGTAACCTGTTCAAATCCAAAAATGAAAAGGATTGGCATTTGAGATTTTGGCATTTCAGATTTTGGCATTTGAGATTTTGATTACTATTGGCATTTGAGATTTTGAGTCAATTAGCAGAGAGGGTACAGTCAGAGAGAAGGGAATACAGGGAGTTGTTTACGAGGAACGGTGAATCAGACTTAGTAGGATCAGTGTTTTCGTATCTCAGATCAGCCCTATTTGATTGCGTTAATTACATCGTATTTTCGAATAGATTTTTTGCAGGTCAACAAAATTGTTACGGTCACCGGTGATTTCAAATTTAAGCTTTGGTCCATTAGGTGCATAGACAGGTCCAATTGTTTGATCGAAAGCCTTTCCAAAAGTAATCAAAAGGGTAGCTTCGTTGGGTACCAAATTAGCGATCATTTTTTATGTTTGAGAAAAAATCTGCTCGCTTTCTCGCTGGTCTGGTTTTTCTTCGAATGGTTGTTTTCTTTTTCGAGCCCCTACTGACCTTATTCTTCGTAATCCATTCATTGGTGTCTTTTGGCGACGTCTGCCACCACCGAGTGGCTTTCTTGCAGTTTTTGTGACAGTGTTTTTCAATGCTTGTTTGGGAGACTTCTTTTTCATAGCGACATCAATCAGTTCTGGCGCTGCACTCATCAAAAGTTCTCTGCCCAATTTTTTCGCAGCCGGTAAAATAACCCATCGTGCAAACGGTATAGGAACACGACCATTACCAGCAGCCAAAGCGCCAAATCCTCTGCCGCGTCGTCAGTACTGTCAGAGAAATGAGGAAGTGAAGCTTGCTTTGCATAATTTTATTCCATTGGTTTTCAATCAAAGCGCTTGAATTTAAGAGTCAACACAACTTTACCAGTTCGTGCAAAGGATACTAGTTTTCAAGTTTCTGTGCGCAAATGTACCAATATTGATTGTACAAAGGAAGTGAACAATTTTTTGCAGTCTAAATTAGTGAAGTTTTTTCAATGATTAGGTTCAATGCTGCAGGCACTATCGTTTTTGATGCATCTATTTGAATCAATGACGCGTAACAAGGGGGCCTTTGCATCTCCAACAGTTTGGTTTTGAATAATGTCAATGTAGACAAAAATCATACTTGTCCCACTTGATAAGTCATAAAGGACATGAGATTCGTACAGTTCGTTTCCCTCATAAGATGCATCGAAGGAGGGTATCATTTTGTGACCAATGTGATATTCACCGTTCTCGTCAAGCTTTGCATTTTAGCCTAAAAGACTGAGGTATTTGGGGATTTGGGAAGGGGATTATTTCATCTGCGTTCATCCAAATGCTCATGATTTTCGTGATTGCCTAAGGACTTGCATCGAAATGAACTTTGTCTTTGAGTTTTGTTTTTATCTCACTAATCAATTGTTCTATAAAAAAGTGCACTCTCCTGATTTGATAAAAAATTTTTCGCCATAGTAAGGTATGGAAAATGTATTCCGATTGCCAGGGTTGTATTAACTGGCTACTACTTCGGATGCTCTGAAGTACGTAATTTCCTCATCAGTAACATTTTTTAATTTCGTTGGGAAAATTATTTCTGAGAGAGCAACTGTGCAAATCTCCGTCTAACGCTATTTCTTCCTTGCAAAAGTATCTTAAACTGGCCAAAGTCTTGTCTCGGGAACAATCCATTGATGCTGTTGAAATCAAATGTGCAGTAAACTCATCATTGCCCATTTTCATTATAATCAGCTTTGTTTTCCATTAAACTAAGTTCTTTTTCATAAAATTTTCCACTGATTTCTTCCTTCTCCGCATCAATGAGACTGAATGGTGCAGGTTTTACAGTAGGAATGGCAGCTATTTCAAAAACTTTGTCTGCAAAAATCTGCGTGTAACCTTTTCTAAAAGGCAATTCAGTTTTCGCTATTCGCACATAGTCACCGACATAAACTTTTGGTTTCTGTACCAATTTTGATGAACTGTTTGCAATTAATGAAACTAAAGCAGGTACATGCTTTCTTGTCACCTTGTTTGGAGCCAATTTTGTTACTCGATTCACGCGTGAGTGAATCGTTTGAACAAAACTCGTTTGTTATTTTTCAATTTAATTGTAAGTCCATTCAAACTCCAAGTACTTGTAGATAATACTTTTCAGCGATTGAATGTTTCTTTCGCAAACGCTGATTTTTTTTTCACTGTGAGTTTTGTTTTTGATGACTTCTCGCTTTGTACAAAATTTTTCGAACTCTCTTTTAAACTCGGTGCCTTTGTCAACCCAAACTTTTTTGTTTGTTTTGTTTTGATCACTTTTTTGAAAGCCTCGGCTGTTTCTTTAGCATATTTGGTCTTCAGGGGTTTTACTCGTAACTAGCGAGATATACAATCGACAGCAACTAACAAATAACGTACCCCTCGGTTATACTTAGCCAATCTATCAACATAAGACAGGTCAAGAGACCAAATTTCCACTGATATCGTTAGCAATCACTTTTAGCCGAGGATATGTTTTACGAAACAATCCATACTTTGTATGAGATGATTGAGATCTCAGAAAAAATTTCAGTTTTTTTGTTGACAGTTGACTAGCATTTGTTAAGTTTTTGACGCTACCAAATGCAGCTGGACCTTTTGTGTAGAGTATTTTGAGTTTCCTTTCTTCACTGATAGTAGGATTTCCATTCTTTTAATGACGTCGCAAATGATTCTTTACTGCTTTCATAGCTTTCAACATCGTCGTCATCGTCGTCGTTGGTGGGGAAAAACTCTTTTTTTGGGTTTTTATCTGCCGAAATCCTTGGT